TGCCACAGGCTGGATTCCTGAGCTGATGGACCAGTGGGGTGATCCATTACGGCAGTTGCCATGCTCTGATACAATAGTCCACCAAAATGAGCGTACAATGACATTCCTTCTGCTACCTTTCCCTTACCCTCCACTATGGAAAACAAGCTTGACAAGACAGGTGCAGAAAATGATTATCTTTTTATCATTCTCATTCTCTGACAATCACCAGAAAATAATGGAATAAAACTGAAGAGGAAAAACAGCAGTAAAATAGGTCCCTAAATTATGTTTGTAGAGGAAAAATATTCTGGAATGAAGCTGGCACATGGTCAAGCTACCATCAACATTCCTGTTCTATAAACTGTGCAAGGATACATTGGGGCTCTTTTTGAAAAGTGTCCTCCCAGTTTGTGCCTGTGATTTTGAAAGAGCAAATACATACAGACATATTTTTTGCAGGCACAAATAATTGCAGGTGTCACTGATGTCACGTACACCTAACTACCCGAACGCACTCACAAATGCAAAATTACACCTACCTCTATTTGCACCCACAAATTGGCAGTGTGAATAAAGGTCTCTTTTAATATCAGGCACTGATGTCCTCCATAAACATATTCCCCAGTAGCCAGACCAAAAGACCCTTTCATTCACACTCAACTTATACTGGTTCTGGCTGATTGCAAGAGAATAATTTGTAGCGAAGTCTGACATGACTTGAGCTAGTTGCAATTCATTGCACACAGGGCAGGAGTCTGTAGTGTTCATGCCTGAGTGTTCATTAGCCATTGTCAAACCTACTTGTGTTCATCCAACTGGAATCATTGGACCACAACTAAATTTAAATGCTGACTTAAACTCACAGGTTAAATTCTTTCCATTATGTCCACATTTCTCAGGGCAGCAGCTGTGCAATGACTGGCTTTGAGAGTCTAGACACTTAATGGAGACAGATGTGAGCGTGACCAAGCAAGCACGTGGTTGACTCTGCCTTTGTATCTTGTGCCTGATCAGCCAGCTGCATTGCTATTGATGTGATACTCTAGATTTACAGCATGTATCTCCACTGAAGTCACTGCCCACTTTAGCAGTTGATCTTGCACCTTTGAAGTCAATGGAAGTTTTGCCATTGACTTCAATGGGAGCAGAACTGGATTCCTTCATCTTTGTCTCATCTGAGTAAATAATACAGATATTAACTGTACTGTGGGGGAATAAAATAGTACCCCTTTAAATATTTGTTAACCCTCTAGGATTCTCACTGTGTTCTGAGTAATAGAAGATGCCTGAAATCAGTCAGAGCAGCAATCTGTATGCAGTTTGGCCTAGCATGCTTGTGTATATTTAGTAAATCGTTATTTACCAGTTAGCTAGTGACAGGAAACAAAATGAGGTTACGGTGAGTCTAATGTAGGTTACACCAATTGAAGACAAGTTGAGGGAGGCTAGGCCATGTTAGTATGGACATCTCCAGCAAAGACCCAAGAGTTATATTGGTAAGAAGGCTCTTCCAATGATTGTGGATGGAAGAAGACCATGGGGGAGGCCAGAGATTTGGCACATGAACTTGATGCCAGCAGACTGTAGAGAGACCAATTTGCATGACAACCAGTCATACAATCATGAGTTTTGGAAGAAGACTTTGACAGTCACTGACCCTGAATAGGGAAGTGGTGAGGAAGATGATGCTAATTATTTGGGATGCTACCATTCCTGTGTGGTTTCTACCTATTATTATTATGTAAAGAGGAAAGGACACACCAATAACACAAACACTTAGGCAGGGTACCTGAGAATTACTGGTTGTAAAGTGCTTTGCAATCATCAGACAAAAAGTGCAAAGGATATAATTAGGAATGTGTGGTGATCAACGGAAGAACAAGCAGTACTTGGCAGAGCCATGTATAGTTTGTACTAGCTTGCATGCACAGACAAACTAATGAGAAGTGCTCTCAGCTTGCAAGGAGTTCTAGCTGTGGAATTCTCTTGGGGGAAAAACTGCTAATTGCAACAAACTGAGTTACAGTGTGTGGGAATTTTATATTGTGAACATACCCCAGGGATGTCATTACACTTAATGATTATATTTCTATTCAACATAAAAAACAATTACAAGTCACATGTAAATAATTAAACAATAGACAATGCAGCAGTTTGGGGTTTTCTAAATTAAAAAATGTCAACAATTAAAATTTTATATTAAAGTCCCACTTATTTAGTAAAACCAAAAGAAAACACTTAAGAATTGATTCTCCAAGCTACTACATTATATTCAGAAGCCACATTCCATGTAGACAGGTTTCAGTGGTAGCCATGTTAGTCTGTATCAGCAAAAAAAACGAGGAGTCCTTGTGACACCTTAGAGACTAACAAATTTATTTGGGCATAAGCTTTCGTGGGCTAGAACCCACTTAATCAGATGTATTAAGTAAAAGATACAGGAGCAGGTATAAATACATGAAAGGATGTGGGTTGCTGTCTGTAATGGGCCACTCTCTTACCACGTCAGAAGTTATTTCTCCTCCCTTGGTATCCTGCTGTTAATTGATTTATCTTGTTAGACTGACCTAACACTTGGTAAAGCAACCCACATCTTTTCATGTATTTATACCAGCTCCTGTATCTTTTACTTCATACATCTGATGAAGTGGGTTCTAGCCCACGAAAGCTTATGCCCAAATAAATTTGTTAGTCTCTAAGGTGCCACAAGGACTCCTCTTTTGTTTATTCCATGTAGAGTAACAGAAGAGAGAAAATTATTTACAGTAATAAAAAAACCTTTCATTCTATTCGTGACAAAAAGCAAATGCACTTTTTCCAAAATATTTCATTTAAATAAATGAAGTTATAACTGGGTTGCTTCACAAAAAAATAGGGAGAATGAAAATATTCAGGGCTTGATTTACCCCTGCCTTATCCCAGTTTGAAACTGCTCCAACTCCATTGAAATCAATGAAGTTAGGACTACAACTAGATGAACTGATCCTTAAGTGATTAGTTAAAGTATAAGATACGGTATCAGAAATGAGGGCAGCGTAAGAAAATTAGTCTGCATGTATATATTTATTTATTGTGGTAGTTCTTGGAGCAACACATATAATGGCAAGAGCTGCCCCAAAGCGTTTACAATCTAATGTTGGGGAACAATTGATTATTAAGGCCCTGAAATAGACACCCCTCAAAATGCAACACTGGGTAAGTTAGTAATGAAGACTTTTTTGTAATGATTCACAAACAAAGTATGAAGGTTTGTGTGTCTTTTTCTTTATATTTACTATGGTAGTCTGCTTAAAGTAGAGAGTGAAAATGTTTAGTTCAGCTAGCAGGGAATAATTTGTAGAACCATCAACAAGGCATATTGGGCAGCATGCACACCCTTGCTGTATTTGCCTGTAGACATTAGAAAATTTCAGACATGTACTAGACCACTGTTTTGTGACTACTCTACCCACATTGGTTATAAGGCCTTTATTCTTGAAAATATTCCATTAGCCAATTATCTAAAAAGGATGGTGGAAGGAAACAGCCACAGACTCCAACAAATTATATTATTTCCACAAATCACTCACAATTTAAACCACAAACGATTGCATTCATTAATACAGGCAATACTGAAGAGGCAGGTTAGATGGATTGATCAGGTCCAAGGACTGGAGGTGATGAGTAGTCAAAACACTTAGTCTATTGGGAGTGAGAAGAGACTGAATCCTAGGACCCTAATTGATGCTGTTAGTCTTTATTCAAAAGAAGTAACTGAGTGAAATTCATGAGTGAAATTCAGCATATGGCCAACACACCACTTAAATCCTATTTTTGATATTTTAAGTGGGACTAAAGTGGTACATATACCTTTACGCTGGGACTACAGGAATTACACCACATGAGGAAGGGCTGTAGGAACCTCTAACTTGGGTGAAGGAAACTTCCAAACAGAATTTACAGCTATGTAGTATTAGCAGAGCAATAGGAAATGACAACTGAGCCAATTGATGATTATTTAGTGCTGAGGCGCTCCAGTCAAGGACCAGGATCCCGATGTGCTAGGCTCTGTACAAACACCAAGTAAAAAGACTGATGAGTAATAATAAATGAAGGAGTGAGGCTGAATGGGCAGAGCCAGTCACTGACTTGTAGCTATTTAAAGGTATTTTGTACCACTGGGACAACCCTATGACTAAATTATGACAATCAGACCATTAGCCAATGTTAAAAGGAACAAAGATCCCCACATTGCACTTTCCTTTAGGGAGAAAAAGTTCCAAGCCGGTCCAAAACTATGTTTTCATTCCTTGAAGTTACAGGTGGCACACTTGACACAACTGCTTATGGCAACTCTTTGTGGCCATCCCCACAGGGGGACTTAGGATATGGGGCATCATGCCTTTGTCTTTCTAAGGAGTGGGTAGAAGGCAAAGGGGTGGGCGCAGTTACCCCTAAGACAGGAAAGGAAAGGTATCATACCGTGCGGGGACCAGGCTGTGGGCTGCATCACGATTTCTCCCATCTTTTACTAGGGCTGTAAGTAACAATAAGGCAAGAAAAGGCTCAGCTGGGGGAACCTAATTGAACATCCTTCCCCCCGCCCTGTGTCTTTGTCCTTTCGACTGCCAGGATCCCATGGTGACCATCACTGAAGAAAACCATCCTCTTCAACAATCCCACCCGGACCACAGCACCCGGAACGTCAGCGCGGCTCCTTAGCCCCACCAGGGGCCAGGGCAGGTTTCCGTCCCGCCCTGCCCTCGGCCTGGCGGTGCTGGGATGGGGGGGGGGGGGGTAGGCGGGCAGGGCAAGCGCCTCGCGCAATGAAAATCCGGGCGCACGGACGAGGGGGCGGGGGCCGGATTGCTCCATCGCGGGAGAGCCGGGCTCGTCAGCGGCTTCTGCAGGGAAGCTCCTCGCGGCAAGGCGGCGCTGCACGTGCACCTAGCGGCCCCTTGGCCTGAGGCTCCTGCCAAGCGGGCAAGCAGCCCAGTCACCAAGGCGCCGCGCCGCTCTCCAAGGTACTGAACGAGCCCCGCTGCTGGGCTCGGGGCTGGATTTTCCCTCCCCGGCGCTCAGGGCAGGGCCTGGGGCGATGAGCGGCCGCGGCCGCAGGATGCGGGGAGAGCCGGTTACCCATTTCTCGGACTCGAGCTCCTGGTGATCTGGGAAAGCCGAGGCGGGGAGTAAAAGCCTTCGGCGGGGCAGGGGCATTCCCATGGCTAGGCAGGGCCGGGGCTCAGGCAGAGGCAGCCTCTGTGCTGCGACGGCTGCCTGTTAGCTTAAGGGAGGGGAATCGAGATTGTTTGATCCGGGGCGGGGGAGGGGACCCCACATGATCCATTTCCCACGTGACGTATTCCGGGGCTTGGAGAGAAGTGGGTGCCCGCAGCCAGCCCTGCAAACGTCATCCCTTTCTCCAGCAAAGGAAAGAGGCACACACAAAGACCGTCCGCTCACCCCGAGGCATTTACACGTCCAGGCAGCAGAGCCGCGAGCAACATGCAGTGTGGCTTCCACCATGACTGCTGCCGTCCCAGAGGTGCTTTCCAGTGGGGTGGCTGAGAGGCAAAGGAACAGACGCTTGCCTCTGGGACTGGGAACAGGTATGTGCACTGGTGGGTAGTGGGTGTTGAACGATGTCATGATTCCGGGGGGCTGGGGGGGGGGGTAGTTCCCCTCCTTCGGGATAGAAATGCGGGGGTTCTCTTCCATTGCTTTGTTGCCTGCGAGTTTTGCCAGCCCTTCTTTCAAACCTGCCGTAGTGTTAAGAAGAGGATGGAGTCCCCCGCACTAAACTGATTCTCCTGAAAGCAATGTGCAGTTCTGTAGAATAAAGAAGAGGTTTAACCAAAAAAAAAAAAAAAAAAAAATCACCAGAAGCTACAAGGGGCTCCACACTTTTGAAAATCAGGCCACTTATTTGTGTGCCTAAAGATGGCAGTTCGGCCTCTGCTTAAAAATCTGGTTAACGTCCTGCCTCCGGTTAAAATTCTTCAGCCCAACAGCGGCTTCCCTTCTTTTGTTCCAGTTTTAAAACGTGGTTTTGTATTTCCGTGTGACTGTTCTGGTAGTCTCCTCCTCTGCCTGAAAGGAGCACACTGTTATCTCTTTGCCAGGGATGGGACACTGGAGCTACCTGGGAAGGCCTTGCAGAGCTCGGAACCACCTTTGCTTGTCAGCAGACAGCAGAGGCTGCAAGTTTTGTTGCCTGCAATTCCATAAATCGGAACCATGTTCCCTGAAAAGTAACGGCAGTAGGTGGAGTTCAGCTGGCTGGCTTTCAGCGCTGTGAAAAGGAGTGAGGGTTCCACAGTGCTGTGAAAGGGGGGAACTGACTGGGCCTGTGTGTGAGGCAAGGTTGGAACAGCATTACTTCTCCCTGGACCCAGATTTTTTAAAACAAGTGCCCGAATTCATGCTCTGAAGGCCTAAATAAGTGTCCTGATTTTCAAAAGAGCTGAGCACCAAGCAGCTCCTCCTGAGGTGAATGAGACGTGCTGGAGGCATAGCATTTTAAAAAATCATTTATTCAGGTGCCTAAATATGGATTTAAGAGTCCAGCTGTTGGCCCCCATTTTAAACATCTTGGCCTTTAAGACCTTGAGCAAGACTTCTGTGCCTCAGTTTCTCCACTTGAAAACAAGCACCCTAAAGCTCCCATTCACCAACTGTAAAGTGGGAATAGCTATTCCACAGAGGTGTGGAAGGGATGTAATAATTATTTGTAAAGCATTTTTAAGTCCTCTGATGCAAGGCCCCATAGAACTGCAAAAACCTATTTCAATTTCTTAACGGTTAGAAAAGTAACTTCTAGTAAGAATTTAGCAATCATTTCTAAAGTACATATAAGTTTGTAATTTTTTAAATAGGAAAATCACCAGTCAACATTTTGGTAACAATGATGCAAAAATTTATGTTAAAATTAAAGGGCCAAATTTGCTGCCAGTGTTAATGGTCAGAGCTCCATTGACCTCAATGGAATTTCATCCATTTACACCCTATAAGAAAATGTCAGTATTTCATTCTTTCCAAGTGTACAGAATTAAATCATACAGGATACATTTTAGAATATGTTAATATTTGATATAGCAGTTGCCACATGGCATCAGATCAGTGGGCCATCTTGTTCAGATTCATGTCTCTAACCATGAACAGTACCAGCTGCTTCAGAGGAAGATACAAGAAACCCTGCTGTATGCAGCTTTGGAAAAATTTTAAGGAAGTTTTCTTTGAATACCCAAAGAGACTTGGGTTTCAAAACCCTCCTCTAGACAAAGCCTTCTTCTTTTTCACTAACTAATGCTCTCTTGAAAACAACAGGCCTGATTACAATCTCACTTACACCAATATAACACCATTGACTTTAGTGGCTTTACTCCTGATTTACACCAGCGTGTGTGAGATCAACATTATTTCCAATTTATTGAATAAGTTAGACTTGTCGAGTTTTAGATCCAAAGACTGATGGTTCTGCTTGATAGTTTTAGGACTGCTTTATTGTATTGTATTATTGTTATTAGCCCTACGAGCCAGAAAAATGAAAGCAATTCTTCAAAATTAACTTTAAAAATGCAAATGCAATTCAGGAACCAGAGAAGGAACCAGATGAATAATTGCTTGGCATATTGTCCTTCATACAAGTATAGCACAAACACTTGACAGAATTAATAATATAGAGCCCTGTACTCTCCTTCATTGCGCAGCACAGAGGAGAGTCAAAAGCAGGGCTTGGAAACAGCCAGATCATTCTCTAACGCCATACCACCACCACCTCTCTGAAACTAAATATTCTCCAGAATCTCCGCTTTTATTTTAAACATAAATAAGTCCTTAAGTGTTATGGTTGCAAAGAAAACCCCAAAAATGTGACCCCTGTGTAACTAATGCCTAGATGAGTCTACACAGAGCATGGAACAATAGACGTGAGGGGTGTGAACTGCCCTATTCATCTCAGAGAGGGGTTAATTCAGAGGTACAGTGATGATTATTTAAGTGGCAACATTGTTAACCATTTCATTCTTCCTGTGAGAAAGGGGAATCACAGATCTGCACAATTTACTAGACTGACATCTCACTTTGGTGCCATAAATGGATGGTGTTTGAGAGATTGCACCTCTTATCCCCCCCACCCCGGATCAAGAAGGGGTCCTGCCCAAAAAGCCTAGCTGAACCAATGGACACGTTGAAGCCCCACCGAAGGGGAACCAAGTGGTATGCCAAATTCTATGTTAAAACTAGAGCAGAACAGGAAAAAAATGGTCAAAACAGTTGGTCAGAAAAAGCTATTTCAATTAGTTATTTTTTTGTAAAATTATAATCACTTCAGTGAAAATTCCTGCAGAGAAAAAATTCAAAAAAAAAATCATTTTGGAAAGTTAGTGATGAGAAAGACTTCACAATTTTATTTTGGATATTATATAGGGTTTTTTCCCATTTTTATTATTTTTACATTACTTCATGACATATCAGAAGGCATATTATACAGTACCAATCTCATAATAGGACATAATAAATAGTTGAATATTCTGTTTTTATTTTTAAAGTCATTAAGGGCACCTGCTACTTAATACTGAGTGAAACATCTTATCTTTTTCCTGGATCAAAGTGTCTCCTGTTTGTTTTGTAATGAAAAAGTCAAACACTTTAACACATTATGCACTACTACTGTTACCAACATGTCATGAAATAATGTAAAAAGATAAAAAATGAAATGAACTAAAATAAAATTCTAAATGAAATATTCGCAAAAAGAAAAGGAGGACTTGTGGCACCTTAGAGACTAACCAGTTTATCTGAGCATAAGCTTTCGTGAGCTACAGCTCACTTCATCGGATTCATCGGAGCTGTAGCTCATGAAAGCTTATGCTCAAATAACTTGGTTAGTCTCTAAGGTGCCACAAGTACTCCTTTTCTTTTTGCAAATACAGACTAACACGGCTGCTACTCTGAAACCTGTCATTAAATGAAATATTGACATTTCAAAATTTTCAAAACTGAAATTCTTTGGAAATTCCATATTGCAGAAAATTGTAAAAGATATTTCTTTTCATTCCAATCTGGAACAAAGATAAATTTTGTTGAAATTTCCCATGAAGCACAAATTCCAAGTTTCTACCAGCTCTATTTTGAACATTTGCACAGTCTACTCTGAGTGGCATCCTATTTTGGCAATTCCCGTTGGTGAAACTTATTTTGTGGGCCCCTGGTCAAAGGCCTTGATTCTGTTCTGATTGATATCAACATAAATCTGGAGTAGCTCCGTTGAAGTCAATGAGTTACACTGATGTGAGATTAGAAACGGCCTAGTGAGTTTTAGAAGCAATTTCCCTCTTTCATTTATTTTCCCCTCGGGGGGGGGGGGAGAATCCATAGTTATATTAATTTATAATAAATGTATGTTAATGTGTCAAAATTTTCACTCATTAATATTTTCTTGGGCAAAAATCCAGCACTCCACAATCTGAGTAACTTCACTAGGGGCTGGGCTGATGCACAAGAGCAGGGCAGAGAAACGGACTGTCTCCAGCCAGACAGCCGCTCCACATAACCTTCTCCTACACAGTGACTGCACTGGGCTCCATAGGAGCTTATGTAGCTCCCTGCCCCATGGTGCCTGGAGGATTAAGATCCCTACAGTATTCAGAGTAGCAGCCGTGTTAGTCTGTATTCGCAAAAAGAAAAGGAGTACTTGTGGCACCTTAGAGACTAACAAATTTATTTGAGCGTAAGCTTAGTCTCTAAGGTGCCACAAGTACTCCTCTCCTTACAGTAGCAGTTCCTGCCCATGCCACAAAAGGGAGACCCCCTCCTCAAAAGAGCTGAGCTCTGTGCCGACGATGTGCAACCCACACACAGCCCACCAATATCCACCCCATCATTGTTGGAGAGAACTGCACCTGTTGCACTGCATTTTGTACTCTCAGAGGTGTGGGGGGGGCATGTATTTTGGTGCTGGGAGGTGTCACCGCTTTTTGGTGTGATCTTTCTAGGAATCTCATCTTCGCCTAACTGACCCTCCTTAGTTTGTTCTCACTCAGATCAGTTACCAGATCCTCACCTCCAACTGAGTCTGTCAGCCCTTCAATTTTAGGGCTTTCAGTCTCCTGGCTATTTTTCTTGGAAGCAGCTTGAAGCAGAGCTATTACCCCCATGCTATCTTAGGCCTTTGTACTTCCCCTTTCCGTCCCTGTGCTCTCCCCTTTATAGCAGGTCTTGTTTCCTCTATTGGTTACAGCTGTGGGTGCCTGCCTCCATGCTTAGCAGCTCTAGCAGCTGCGTGGGGGGTGTGATCAAGCTGCTTGTTCGTAAACAGGAGAGACCTTCCTCCCCCCTCTCTCTGTGTTCAGTATGGGGTTTGTAAACCCCATTGCAGAGGCCTGATTCTTCTTTATACTGAAGCCACTTTATAGCCATCTGGCAGTGGAAGGGAGTCTGAAAGTGCATGTAAATATGAATTACAGACACTATAAAGCTTCTTTTCACTGCTAGAACAATAAAGCAGCCCCAATGTAAATCAGAATCAGGCTTCATTCATGCATCTACAGCATGAAACAAATATTGTCAGCCCACAGCAGGATCTGTAACCACCCGCTACTCTCTTGTA